TGCAGATACTGTGGGTTAGCTGTTTTCTTTTCAAACTTTCTTTCTTTATTCTTTGTTTTTCTGTAATTTTCTCTTTCAATCACTAATAAATATTGAGGATTTATCCAAATAACATTAATTTACTTTTTCTTAATGTATATTTTGATTTTGCATTAAAGCCGTAATTACCACAAGGTTATCTTTCTTTTCATGTTTTTATTTTTAACAATCATCTAGATTTCCATTCACTTATTATTCTAAGTATTAGAAATAAATATCAGCAACAAAAGGATTATTCAGAAAACTTTTTAACACTGCATTAGAAAAGCAGAAAGTTTCTTTACTCTGAGATAATGATTAAATTCTATGGTAATTCTCTAGAACAGGCTTGTCCAACCCCAAGACTTTGTGACCTGCTTTTGAAATGCATTTTATTCTGGTGGGCTGCATTATATATAAATATAAATACACTAGTGTGCAAAACTTAAGCAACTTTTCTGATTTGGCTGCAATTCTGTAAAAAATCAACTGAGAGCTATGAAATTTGCACTACAGAGGCACAGTGTAGTACTTTAGGGATGAGGAAAGTGTAGTAGCAAAAAAATTAAAAAGTACAAAATGAATAGAAAAAGGCTTTATTGAGAGAATGTCATTGGTACAAAAAACTGTCAGACCAAAGAGGGAAAACCAAAGAACCTTAGTAAGGGATATAACCTCCCTTAACTGCACTGGTTGCATTGCATCATCTGTTGATCAACTTACTGGTGTGACTCAACATTGAAATATTTAACAGTTCTTGGGGTAAGAGTTTCCATTATTCGAGGAGCAATCTATTTTAGTTATCTGGTGTTCTTTGTAGGGTGAGACCGTGCTTCCAGGCATCTCCCTAAAGTATCCCACACTTAGTGGGATTTAAATCAGGGGGAGCATGTTGGCCAACCCATTCTATGGATATCTTCACTTCCAAAGAGCTTCTCAACAGGCATGAGTATTGTTTGGCCATGTATTGTTATACGTGAAAACAAAGTTGGGAGCAATGGCAGCCCAGAAAAAGATGCATATGAGGCAGGATAACTTCTTCATCACAATAACAATCTCTAGTAAGTGAACTTCTGTTGAAAATGTAGAGCTTTGTCCATCCTTTCATCATAATGCTCAACACCAAATTATTTTTAACAGTTCTTAGGGTAAGAGTTCCCATTCTTCAAAGAGCAATCTGTTTCAGTTATCTGGTGTTATCAGTAGAGTGAGATTGTGCTACCAGGTGTCTCCCTAAAGTATTCCACACATGTTCAATGGGATTTAAATCAGGTGAGCACATTGGCCAATCCATTCTGTAGATATCTTCACTTTCGAAGAGCTCCTCAACAGGCATAAGTGTTGCATGACCATGCATTGTTATACGTGAAAACAAAGTCGGGAGCAATGGCAGCCCAGAAAATGATGAACATGGGGCAGGCTAAATTCTTCATCACAGTAACTATCTCCAGTATTTGAACTTCTGTTGAAAATGTAGAGCTTCATCCATCCTTGCATAATGACGCCTGCTCATTATAAGCATGTAAGGACTACCCAAATGGTCTCTTTCCCTGATAATAGTGGGATGAAAGTGTGTCCCTACCTTTTTTCATATCAACAGGCACTGAAAATTGTTTGACAGACTAAAATGACTCTCATCGGTAAACAGGGTGTGTCTTCATTGATTAGATGTTCAGTCTTCCACACTGAGGTGTTCTAGAGGTCTACCACCACTGTAAATGGTGCCACCAGTAAGCGTCTGCCAATGGTATGTAGCATGGAGGTAGGAAATGAAGGAGGGGCCAGTCGGCACTAGAAGTGAAGCACTACTTTGAAGCTTGGGTCACCAGATGGGGTGTTCTTTGTTTACATTCAGAAGCTAGCTTCACATGGTTCTGATAGTATTTCGACACACGACAGTTCTATAGAAATCGAAAAAGGGACACTTTCACATGAAAGAAACATTCATAGTGTGATGGATAATAGCAATTTGTATAGTTTAGTGACATTTACGCAAAAATCACATCTTGGTTATTTTTCGATAACTAACAACAGCGCGATTTTGATTATGAATTTGTTTTATAAAATTCTAAGCTGTTGAACTACAAAATATAGATTTTAAGAAAAATGTTATGTTTAAAGAATGAAAAATACCTTACGGTACATTTAAAATTGTATACGTTTTTCGATACCCTTGATAGAGTATTCGCTACTTTTATTTTATTTTCCAAACGCCAAAATGTTTTAAATAAAACAAATTTTTTTTCACATCCATATATTATTGTTGCATATTATTGCAAAAACCATGTATCTGCCTTTGACAAAATACATAAATATTCATTAAATTATTTATAAATGTATTTGAAATGAAGAATTTATTCACTTATAAACAAATGTGAAAGTACTGTGAAGAAATCTAATTATTAAATGTATCTAATTTATAATAATTATAAATGTTTTCTAATATATGATAACCTTAATATTGAATTGTAAACTAAATTGAAATTCTGTTGACAAATAGTTTTTATAAAACTATTTAAGCAAGAATTGTTCATATTGGAAAGCAATCTGTTTAAAAGTATTGTAAAGCAAATGCTATGAGATGCGCACTTAAGAACGTAATAAAGAGTTTTGAATATGTATTGTTGAAATGAAGGGGTAAAAAAAAATTCTGTATGTATAATTAAAAGAATTATTCCCCTTACATTTTATAATAACTCAGTTTACAAGTTTTAATAATACTTAAAAAAAAAAAAAAAAAAAAAACTTATTTTATTCCCTTTCAGAAATGTTCAGAGAAAGTCAAGTACTATTTAAATATTTCGCTCATTCCTAATAATTCTCTAATTTAAAATGAACTGAATAGAGCATTAATTATAAATTGACTTACATTTTTCGATTTAAAAGATGCCTCAGAAGACAAAAAATCATGTCATATTTAAGAAAGTATTTTAGGTAGTAGCTCTGTAGAAAAGAAATAATGCATAATTTTAATATTAATAATACAATAAACTTTGATCTTAATTTTTGTACCTTAACCGAATAAAATCGAATTACCTTAATTTCTTTTCTTAGTGTAAATAACGAAAACTTGTGAAAATATTTCATTCAAATTAAACCATTCTGAGAAAACTGTCCTGTGAAAAGTATAGCATTTAATTCCGTTCAGAATGAAATGTTGTTTAAAAATATGTTGTTTTCATATACTTAGGACTCTGAAGTGTTATACAAAAAGAAAATATATACATTTATATGTATATTTACGACGTAATTACAAAATATTTACATCCGAACGCGTTAAATCCCATTGAACTCAATGGTAAATGACCCAATGTTTTGGTCACCACTTAGGGATCGCCGGTGCTTCAGAGCAGGGTACGGGAGAAACTTGTTTAGGGCAACTCCATCTTACTTCCTACCTCCATGGTATGTAGCATTCAGGATGGTGGACAAATAGGTCATCTTTATCAAGTCGTCTGGCAGTAAATCGAGACACCTGTCATCCAGCTGCCTTGCGCAACTGCTGAGCAGTGTTGCTCACTGTCTGGTTTTAATCTCTTTTTGCCTGTTGGGTGATATGCTGATCATCGGTGTACTGTTGTTTTCCTTGGCTGACCACTACCAACCTGTATTACAGCTGTTGCTGTTGTGTGGAAGACTTTCCAAGGTCATGAAATAATATTTTGATTAATTCTAAACTCTTGGGCAACAGGTGTCAAACTATGCTCCTTCTAAAGCTTGCCAGTCATTATAGGATGTGTAAAAGTATAAAGACTGGAACCAATAAGCTGGTGGCCTGATATTTTCTTGTAACCATACTTGCTCATGCAATCTCATTTTCACTTGGAGAAAAATGCCTGGAAATGCACTTTTCGTTCTTAAGTTGCCTTGCACTTTACATGCTGACTCTTCTCGTTTTGTGTGCCCTGACGTTCCTCTTTGATGTGATAGCAAAGATATTTGCATATGCTCAACCTTTTTACTGAGTTGGCTTTTCATTGTACTAATTGCAAAATGCTGTTTTCAACAATTTTATAGTTATATGTTGAAAAATGAATTTTTTACTTCTGTTTTGCGTACTAGTATGCATGTATATAAATTTTTTTAGGTGAAAATTTAAAACTGAATATACATTATTATTAGACATTTTTTTATTATTCATAAATTATCAATAAAACAGTTAAATATTTATAACTGTAGTAATCAATAAAATACTCGAATAATATTATGTTTACTGTAATCAGCGCAATACTTGTGTCTCTTTTCTTAGTTTTTTTAAGTCAGTCTTAATAACTGGATTTGTACATCATAATTAATGATGTAGTTTTTTGTCAGTTAAGAATTTTCATGATATTTGTTTCATGAATATCAGTTTTGAAAAAAAAAAAAAATTGTGAATTCTGCCATCGCCGGACATAATTTTAAAAGGTGAGCCGTAACTTGACCATCCCTGCTATAGAACACAAATTTATATCTTCAGTCCACAAGCTTTGGTTACAAAAGAGACAAATTTGTATATGTAGTGCCATACCCAGGTGTAGGTTACATAGACACACATATTCGATTTTCTGAGCTTGAAAATAGAAATGTGCATGCTTTGTTTTCTTGATGTTAAAAAAATATGTGGCTTGCCATGTTACATTTAGACCAGTACAATATCTTGTTTTGGCTTGAATGTATAAATATGATATCATAATGTATTTTGGTGAGGGAAATAGATGATGTGACAGTGTGCATTTAATTGAATGCTGTTAAGAGACTTATTTGTTGTCAGAAAAGGGATTTTTTTTATTATAACAGTTGCTTTGTATCACACTGTGTGTCTGAAATAGATAATATTAATAAATAGACTCCCCAAATAAAGTCAAGGAAATCATTTAAATAATTGTCCTCCTGAACATGATTTTTGTTTCAAAATCTGAGTGTAATATTCTTTAACTAATTTTATCATTTGTTTTAGTTGTTCTTCCTCAAAATGAAAGGTAAATACTTTTTTCTTATAGTTTCAAATTGGACTAAAAGGCCAAAGGAAGTTGTAGCTTCACAGTTTGAAGAGAACAGGATTGATCTTCCTGTTGAGTCGGCTTTGTGGTTGCAGCATTTTAAATCACAGAATTCTGATCTTATGCAGAAACTTGATGTATGTGTGTATGTGCATGATGAATTATTTTGTAGAAATATGTATTCATTTCAGTAAGATGTTTTTTTAAAAGTATTTCACCTAGTAAGAATCAGAATTTTCATATTTAATTGAATGCTCTTGATTTCAAGATGTAGTAGACATAAATCCTTAAGAATCACAGTTTTGATTCTTAAGAAATGATACTATTTTCTTTTTAAATAATATTCTTTTTAAATGATACTATTTAAAAAGAATATCATTTAAAATAAGTAGTATCATTTAAAAAAATACTATTAAAAATAGTATCTTTAATTTTCCAATTTTGTGTTTTATTAAAATTGGAAACATTAAGTTCTTAAGTCTGTTGAATTTTAATCATAACCTGCATTTGAAATATCTTTTAGTTAAATATTTGCTATGGTATTAAAAAAATGCTACATGGAAGAAATCATTTTTATTATTCAATTATATTATTTATTAATTAATTTTAATTTTAACTGCCCTGGCTTTAATGAATAGTATCTTTAGGCTAAAACAATTACTCAACACAAGTTAAACATATGAATCAACACTAACAGACTACACAAATCAAAATTAAACAACTAGTAACAAAGCTAAGAAGTAAACTGAATTCAGAACTGACTAAACTATTGCTAATTTATGTAGCTGAAGAGGCCCACCTGCAGCCAAGTGGTAAAGTCACTCAACACTGGTAGTTCAGTCCGAGGTTCGATCTCACAAACAGGCTGACTGCATGGTAATTTTTGTTTTTTCCCCCATGTATAACATGTATATGAGCTAGTTACACTTAGAAAGACCTCCACAAAGGCATCATTCTCCTTAGCCAGATAGCCCTCGAGACTTTGCCGTCATTGATAAACCAAACGAAACCAACTATGCAGGTGAACTGACAGAAATTATGAAAGAGAAAATCTTTCTTTTAGAAATATATTAGTATACATGCTTTGCTTTTGTGAAGTAAATAAACGTTTTAAATAGTAAATAATATGTAATGTGAAAGTTCATAAATGCCACAAAATTAAAAAAATATATATATAAATCATTTGTTTCAGCTGAAAACATCCAAATCATATACTTGGAGTAAAAGAGAAGTCACTGAGGAAGGCAAACCTTTGATGGAAGTAGTTGAGCATGTAAGTTTTCTGTTTATAATATTCTTGTTTGTGAATATCTCCAGGTAAATGCAAGTTAGAAGTCTGCAGAAAGTGCATTTTAATCTTTAGATATTTGTTTAGTTCTGCTCAGTTTGTTTCGTGAATGGAGAGGGGACTAAATGATTTTAGTAAAATTCTCTCATTTTTGGGCAGAACAGCTCTTTAGAAGGCACTTAAGTTTCTTTTTTTTTTTTTAGCATTTATATAAAAACCTTTAATATCAAGTGAGGGGATAACTATTTTCCTGACATATATTACGGATACTGACTCTTCTTTTGAAAAATATATGAAATTTATATCCAGATTCTTGAAATTTGTACAGTAGTTTAAATAGCAACACATGAAAGCCAATTATAAATATCATTTCATGGTTCTAAAAATTGGCTATTGACCAAATATTACTTAAAAATTTTTACTTAGTTTATCAAAAGTAGCATATTTGGTAATTTATCATTTTTCTTGCTCCTAATCATCACATAATTCACTACCAGTTTATTTATATGTTTAAAATGCAGTTAATTAAATTTCAATTAATTTTATAATGGTACTAAGTAATCAAGTTAGCAGAAAAATTGTTTTCATTTTTAATAATTGAAGGCTATTAGAATTTGGATAAGCTTTACCTTATTAACTTTAGATAAATGTTGGTACTCACATTCAATGAGATGGATAAGTCTGCCGATTCTTAGGTAACTGTTTTATATTCGGATGTATGAAAGTACAATTACACAGTTAGCTGTATTCTGTTTATCCAAATATGCAGAGAAACAATGGCAAGAAGCATTAAAATCATAGTGCTTTAAATGACTCTTTTTATTGCCTAAACTAGTGTAGGTAAGGTAACTGGTGATAAATGTCATAAAAAATGTAGGTCTTCGGAGAAAAATGTGCTAGATAATTGCCAAGTGTAATTTCCAAATTGAGAATTTTAGCTATAGTGTAGTTATTTTTAATTTAATTTTTTTATCTTTTTGGAAATCTAGGAGGACTACTTATAGTCTCAAAGCCAATCTTTTTGTAAAGAAAGCTTGACTATCATTTGCAGTTATTACCTGCCTTTTAATTTAAGGTCATAAAGCACATTCCACTTTTCATTCAATCTTTTTAAAATAAAATGGTGGGTTCTGTGAACTAAAAATATGGTAATTCCTGCTATTGTTGATGATTAGGCGGTGGGTTTATTGTTCTATTACTCATTAGAATGTATCTTATCCATTTGAATATCAGGAATTAATATATTTCTAGCTGCATCTTGTGCTGCTAGTCTTTTACCAACTAATACCTTACTTTTGAAGACAACTATGTATATGAGATTAAGCAAAGAGAACTGCGGTGATATTTTTAGGACAGTTCAGGAGAAGCTAGACAGTAACAAAAAGATCAGTTTTTATGTGAAAACCTCAATTTAAAATTCTTTAATACTTTCAGCGAAAAGTGTGGTATTATTTATATACATATGAGGTTTAGGAGGCCAGGAAACATGAGAAATAAATTATGTCTCATGAGAATTTGAACAATGATCTTGTTACCATCTGAATGTGGTAAACACTTGCACTGCGAGAACATATGCAGGGAAACGTGGCAATTCCTCATGACTACGCTTTTAAATAGGAAAAAAAAAATTGAAGTTAGCTGTATTACTTTTGCAAAATTAGGGCAATGTATGTTGAATTGTTTACTTATATCCAACTTATTAATAAATAGTTGTGTAGTTACAACATGCAGTTTTATCTTTTGGTGATGAAGCAATTATATTTTCTTGTAATATGTTTTATGTGTTTTTGTGCAATTTATTATTCCTGTAATACTAATGTAGTAAATAGTTTTCTTTTCATTCTGTATTTTTGCCAAGGGTCTTCAAAGAGTGAGACATTCTTCAGATTGTATAGCAGTGCTTTTAAAAGAAATTAAATATCACTCACAATTTGGGAAGTATGTATTATTTATTCAGAAATTATATAAGTATATTATGATTAAGAGCATACTGAATTTTTTAAATATCTCTTATCCTTTTGTTAGTGAAATTCAGTATTCGAAGTATTATTAACCACTTCCCTTACCCCTTTTTTTGAAAAAAAAATTGCAAAAAATCATCACATTTTTTATTTTATTATTAAATACAGTGAAATGAAACAAATCAAAATATGTAGGTTTTAAGTTGAATTTTAAATTTTTTGAAGGTGTAAAAGCATTTAGTTTTAATATTAGTTTACTATCCTGAGTTATCTCGGGCAAACAAAAAAAAGTTAAATATTAATCTTCATACTAATTCAGAAGTCAAACAACAAAAAATCAGCGTTATACCTACAAAATTTTCACAGGACTAGTTTCGATGGTTTTACCGAACCATCATCTTCAGCTGCAAAACCGCAAATGCGGTCATTTGCGGTTTTTGCAGCTGAAGATGATGGTTCGGTAAAAACCATCGAAACTAGTCCTGTGAAAATTTTGTAGGTATAACGCTGATTTTTGTTGTTTGACTTCTGAATTAGTATTTATTCGGCGTGTTATTGTGTCTTAATTATAGAAGCCCCAAACAGGCTTATATTTGCTTTCTTTTTTGCACGTGGTGTGGCCGCCATTTTGTGATTGTAGGAGTTTCGGTGAGTACATTTTTGCAATTTTCAAGTTATGTTTATGTTTTGTACATTTGGATATTGTGCTTTGCTTGTCTGATTTCATGTATTTTGCTTAGAAACGTTTTGTTTTCTATTCATTTCAGCGAGGGATTTTTCTGTGTTTTGTGTGTATTTTATTATTGCTCAGTTAATTTAGTTTGATTTTTGCATTGTTTATCATGCCTTCATCCGTTAATCGTTTCACTAAATTACGCCTGAAACGGCAAAAATTCCTGAATCATCTTGATTTTTTACTTAAATGTAAATGTAAAAAATTGATCCCCAATTTTATTCAAATCAAATCTAATCAAAAACCTTCGAGTCGCGTTTCAAGATTTGCGGTTTTGCAGCTGAAGATGATGGTTCGGTAAAACCATCGAAACTAGTCCTGTGAAAATTTTGTAGGTATAACACTGATTTTTGTTGTTTGACTTCTGAATTAGTATTTATTCGGCGTGTTATTGTGTCTTAATTAATCTTCATATCATAGTTTTTGAAACAAGGGATAACACAAAGTGATACCTGACATTCTACACCGGTATTTGGTCTCCTTTCTTACTGGTTTACCGTTGTAATCTCTTTCACTGGAGCACAGTGCACTGTCTTGTTAGATTTGATTTTTTTTTTTTTTTTAAATTTTTTCCACCTCTTCATAATCACTATCTGAAAAATTATCACTTTTGCTATCTTGCATCATTGCCATTATTTTATTTTTTTCAATGCATGTATCCATCTTTATACATTACTAATCCACAAGCCGACATATAGTATACAATAGGGAAACATATGATCTGTCCCTCCAAAGGAATCACGCAACCAACAAAATTTGGCAATCTGCCAATCAGAGCAGAATATTTCCTTTCATTTCCTCCAGGTCGAGTAAAACCGTAATAAAACCAATTGTACTAACAAATTCTGCTTCGTGCAAGTTTTCATGGGATAATAATTAAGTGCAATATATACGAACCCGAGATAACTTGGGATAATCAGGCAAGTGGTTAATATTTATTTAGTATTTTCATAAAGGGGTTCATCTGAAACTTTTAAATTTAAACTCTATAAGTCTTTAGTTTAGAAATCATGGTCTGTTACAGCTATAATAACTTCATTGCAGCCCCCAAATGTTATTAATTTACAATAAAATTTCTGTCTGTCATTAGTAGAAGTTGTTTCTAACTGACAATGCATCAGATCTGTCATTTATCTTTGGTATTATAAAAATGTATTGCTTAATAAAGCAAAGCTTGGTTAAAAAAGTATTTTTATCTGGATTTATTAAAGTATTTTGTGAGAAGTATTATTTTATAGCCACGTTTGACAAATAAAACAGGTTCGTACATCCTATATTAGGTCAATTCAAAATTTCTAAATATTCCTTTTGTGGATGTTATCTTCTGAAACCGAAATAAAGTTTAATGGTTGTGATAAAATTTTTTTTGTAATTTGTAAATTTAAACTTCTGCATGTATATTTTTAACTATTTTTCAAATGGTAACATATATTTAAGATATTTTGTTATTTTCTGTTTGTACCATTCTACATTCAGAAAAGAAACAGCAACAGATGTCTAAGCTTATGATGTTGAAATTCTTTGACATTAAATTAAATTCACCATTAAAAATTTATTTACATGAGTTGGCAGCAGTTGATATTTTTATTCAGAACAGCAAAATATAGTGCTTTTGGGGGGTGGGCACTTTTAGCCCAAATAGGTGTTGTAGTCTTGAAACGGCATTTTGCATCAAATTACTTATCACTTTTCAGATTGTTACCACCAAATATCGACCTGTATTGTATTTAAAGAAACTAAATAATGAAGAATCTACATGAATGTATGTATATTTATCACATTGTGAAGGAAAAAACGGTACCTAGAGTCATCACATTTTTAATAACAGCGGTAATCCTTCACCCAAGCATGGGTACATAGAAGTCTGAATCTAGAATGTGTTTTATTGTCTATTTGATATTTTGTAAAACTTTAAAAAATTTTTGATAAAACTCAACAATTTCAAAGTTAGCAGAGGCAACACTGTTAAGAAGCCCAAATGCTCTTGAAACGTATATGTGTCTGTTAATGAAAAAAATGCTCATTTGCACATAATGAAAAATCTGAAATCTTTCAGTTTTTTTAAACTTTTTAACTTTTTAAAAATATTTTTAATATTAAACTCTTTTTTTAACATATTAAATAATAATCTGAAATTTTCAGATCACTAACCTCTTCCTTTTTTTAAAATTGAACAGTCATAAATTTCCAAACTACAGCTATGAGTTTATCACTCTTATAACCATATCAAGCGCAGATATGATATTTAAGTACAATGCATTAGTAGCACTTGTTAAGAAAACATTAGATAATCATTTAAGAAAATGAAATAACTGTTAAGTTTTGTATAATTCATGAAATCAAGTGAGAAGTTTATGTGTGTCGGATTGTAATAAATTAGAAAACCTGTGTGAGATGAGATTGTAATGATTTAGCAAAAATTGTGTGGAAGCACTAAAAGCTATTATCTTCTAACAGGGTTCACACGTTCCTTAAGAGTCCTTAAAGGTCCTTAAGTTTTTTGGAATCAATTTTTGGTCCTTAAAAGTCCTTAATTTCGGCCAAAATCAGCAGAAGGTCCTTAATTTTAATAATCTGAAATTTTTGTCTGCTTTTATGACTGCCATTTTGAGTGTGAATTAGCATTTTGCAGCAATATTTTTGGCGATTCACTGACAAATATGGTTATTTTTTAATGGGTTATAATTTGTTCCTATTTGGAATATAACTGGTGGTATACTTAAGTTTCTGAGCAAGAAGTGAAATATAAGCATTTCGAAATTATTTCATTTTTTGTAATGAAGAGCTCTCAAACAACTTTCCACTTTTGGGATGTGAATTCTTTTATTGAATGGTTCTAAATTTGGCGACTTATCAACATTTTGGCGATTTAATGATCGGTTTCTATAGAAATATTTTAATTCCGAAATCTGGGAAATTTTTGGCGACTTTTTTAGAACATTCTAACACTGATAAATTTCATTAAAATAATGGTCATGTGTTGGAATAATATTTAAGAAATGGTATTAAAATAAAGCATTTTTATTTTTCACTGTCATATTATAAAGTTCCATTTTGGCCACATTTATTATACAACGTTTTGAATCTGAAAAAAAAGCAAAGTATAATGCTATAAAGCACAATTTACAAAACAGTTTTTAGCAAAAGCAAAATAGCTATTAAAAACGTCTTTTTAATTTTTTCATGGTAAGAGTTTTTCCCATTTCTCAGAATTCTCAGAATATGCATTAGTTTTCTCTTTCTCTACTTTTCACTAGACACAAGCATGGAAAATATCAAAAATGCTTCTAATCTTATCATATGGACAGACAGTATAGAAAGGAATTTTTTTTATTTATAAAGAAATTTAAAAATGACAATTCAAAAGATTAATCTAATATGTCTTAATGCATCATACACAGGGCTGGTGCTAGGCATTTTGCCACCTGATGTAGTCTCTGTAGATCCTAAATTCTGCTTCCAATGCCTGCTCTAAATTCTGAAAGTTTTGCCATTTCTAGATTTTGTTGCTCGGTGTGTCACTAAATTCTAAAAATTATGCCACACCAGCTATGTGACATGACCTTACCATACATTTTCATATTTCTTCTGAATGTTCGTATTACTAAAGAAATAAAATTAGCAGTTTTTTCCATACATTCTAAATGCATTCTGTCTTTTAAAATAACAGAAATCTAATTAAATCCAAAAATTCTACAGTGAAAAGGAAATGTGTTGAAGAAACAATCTAAATATGTAAAGAGAAAGAAAATTATTCTTCAGAGATATGGAGTTATTATTATATAAATTACCCAGTTGTTAACAATTTCAGCTTTTACTATAATTTCCCATTTCTTTTTCCTCACCAGAATACAAATCACTGAGATAGTTTTTAAACTGAGGTTTTTGGAGATTAAGACAAGAGTGTGTTTCTGACCTCCACTTTGCTCTCTGTATTAGTTCCTATCAGCTCTGATAATTTCCATTACCACTGCTGACATTTGAGTTTATTATGATGATAGAGTTATTGAACCAGATTAAATTGAAATTAAATTGACTACTTGTCTTTGACCACTAGTCCATATTTTTAGTTTGGATTTGACTCCTCTTGTTTAATTACATCACCATGAGCTGTAATTGATTTTGTTAGCATAAGAACATGCCTTTATGTTCTAATTTATTATTATTATTATTATTATTATTTATTTATTTATTTATTTAATAAGAAGCTTGTTTAAACCTCTGATTTATAGTTACTTTCAGACATAGTCATGATTTGTTTCACGTCTGTCGGGGGCGAGGGATGGACTATTTAACTTTTACCAGATCAAATAAACCCTCATTAAACCATTGTGGAGAGGTTGACAGTTAGGAGATAAAACAGGCAGAAACTAATGAGGACATTGTTTTGCTTATTGAGACTAAATTCTAATTGTTAGAAAAGATGCTTAAGGAGAAAGAAATCAATATAAATTAGCCCAAATGTCTGGGCTTTCTTTCAAATTAAAAAGACGCATAATTATTTTGTTTTGTTGCTACAAAACATAAATGTTTAATGTGCAATTATCCTAATATTGTTTAAAAATCAATTTCATAAATTCCATGTATTTTAAACTGTGAAATTTTATTAGATTGTGACATTAATAGGGTTTTTTTTAACAAATATTGTTAAAAAACAAATTTAATTTGATAGTGTCCATGTAAATATATATAACTAAGGTTATCTAATACCTAATTTAATTACTTATAACTAAGTGCTTACCCTTAAAAATTATCTTTCCATAAAGCGAATTATTGCTTTTCATTAACCTTTATAGTGGTCAAAAGGTAATACACAAAAATATAAAAATTCATGTAAAACTTATTCTTCACATCTAGTGAAACTTAAAATAATGCAAAACAACTTATAGTGCTTTAGAGGCTTAATAGAACCTTAAAGTATATTAATTGAGTTAGAACCTCAGGAACTTTACATGAAGCTATGACACTAACTGCGTCAGACAGAGCTCAGCTAACTTTCAAAACTTACTAACTGTGCCTACATCAGGCCTTTCAGGTTTGTTCTGATAGCAGGTCTCTCTCTCTCTGGGCAAGCAGGAGAGGTGACAACAGCCAGTCTTTTGTTAGGAATCATGCTGATTATGATTTTAAATCTCATTTTAACCTATATTGCTTGACATAAAATCTACTTACTATTTACTAAATCTCTAGACTGAGCAAGTATGTGACAAAAATGAGACATTAAAAATAAAAAAAGGCTAACTGTTAGTAAAACGTAACTAAAATAACACTTATCTTCTTTCAAATATGTCTAGTTATTATAAGCGTAAAATATTTAATGCTGCTTGATAAATTTTATAATAGTATTTATTTTATTCTCAAACATATTAATAATTATATGTTTGAGAACAAAAAAAAAAAAAAAATACTATTATGAAACTATGTTTGAGAATAAAATAAATATTATTTTAAAATAAATACTTGTTATGCATCCTATTTACGGATCTCTTTTGTTTTTAGGATGGTACTAAAAAATGAAGTTCAGGCATAGATATAATATTTTTAATTGAATTTACTCAGTTCCCATTTGCTCATAGGTCCTTATTTTTTTCCATTAATGGTCCTTAAAAGTACTTAATTTCCGAGTGCAGAAATGTGTACGAACCTTGTCTATAATCATATTTGAGCATAATTTTCTAATTTTCTTTTCTAGGTTTAAAACATTGCTTATTGTAGATGGTGTAAATGCAATTTTTACCAAAACCAATGTAAAGAGACCTGACCAGTCTTTGGTAAGTGTTCTAGAATATTTTACATTTTTATGACTTTTTATCTTTCAGTTTGGATAAAATTTCAAAGAAAGGGGATCACATTTCAATTTGATGTTTTTGTAGTATCACCATGACCTTGAGTTGAAGAACTTTATCCGTTATCTTTACAAAGAGTTTAAGGAGATATTACTTTTTGAAAAATTTTATTGCATCAAGAAGCAATCATATTGTTCAGAATCAATTTTTTAATATATAGTGCATCTAAAGAAAATAAACACTGTGTAAAAAAAAAAAAAAAAAAAAAAAAATAATTTTTTATTTTTTTTTTTTTTTTTTTTTTTTTTTTTTTTTTTTGAGTAGAACAAAAAGAAAGGAAAAATGCTTGTGGTGTTGCTATCTCATAAAAATATAATCTATAAATATTTTCTATTTGATTAATAGTAAAATTGAAAACATAATATTTAAGTACACTGTGTACTGTTATCTTATTTAACAGCACACAGCCTTATGCTTATTTCTGTAAATAATTTTATTTAGTAATTTATATGCATGTATACACTCAGCCTAGTGCTGAGGAAAATGCTGGTACATCATAAAAGTGTAAGAAATTCTCCAGAGATTGCACTTAATGTCATTATATGTATGATTAATATACTATTGCCATAGACTGTGACCATTCTTAGGTAAAACTACTTGCCTGCATTCTTCTTCCAAAGGCAACTGTGAGTTTTCATTTCTTGTTTCTAAAACTAATCTTTATTCAGAATTAAAAAAAAAAAAAAATCAATTTAATAAAGGATAGAAAATAAATAAAGAAGGAATGTGTCACACTAAAATGAGAAGGCTAATTGAAATTTAAGTGAATTATATTTAAGATAAAACAATTACAATTATTTTTAGGACTTGTAATGTAGTTACATATAAAATATTCAGCACCCTCTGCAAACATGCTTTACTCTTTAAAAGTTCTAACAACATTGAAGGCAGTCTGGCACATGGTGCTAAAAGTAGAGATATCAGCAGTTTTCTGGATGCAACAAACATGGATAACAACAAATCTTCTAATTTTGATGTTGTAAAGTAGTGCCATCTTGTCAGCAGATTGCAATATAACATATAAAAAATTTGGTTAGCCCTTGAATTCTCTCAATATTTTAACATCTTATAGAATAAATAATTTTGAATAAAATATGTATAATGCACTTTTGTTTGACTTATTTATTTATTTATTTTGCAGTCGGATGAATTTCGGATTGAAAACTAACTTCTTTGGGAATCATAAACACACACGAATAGGATCATTTATACATTATTTTTCCATCTACTATTTCCTGTCTTGAGTAGTACCAAATACACTCTTGGGCAAATTATTGTAGATCTCTGAAAAAATTGATTGCTGAAGTATAAATTGCTTTGATTAAAATTGGTCCATTATAGATTAGCTACATTTAATGATATTTCCAAAGTAATGGCTTATATATTGTATTTTCAGCAGTATCAATACATTTCAGTACTATAATGCCTTTTGGTTTTTAATAATGTCTAGATTCTTTTGAGGTGTTTCTTCTATAAAGACTTTCCAGTGCTGCTGTAGATCTCAGTCATAATTCCATATTCCTTGGGCTATTTCAGTTCATGAATTTTATTTTTGAAAATATTCCCTATTCCTTCATTAAATTTCATATGAGGATTATCTCCAGACCAAGCTAGCACTTGAAGCCCTTTAAAACTAAAACAATATTTTAGGATCCTACTTGTATGAGAAGTGCATTAACTTGTTGAAAAATTGCACCTTCCTGAGGAAACTATGCACTAAGCTGTGAAAATAAATGTCTTTCCAAGACTTCCTTTCTGTATTTGTGAATTTACATTCCCTTTAATTATTTTAATGTGTCCCAGTACCATAGGTCATGTTTATGATTTATGGATGATATTTGTGAATTTAACATTCCCTTTAATTATTTTAATGTGTCCCAGTACCATAAACCATATTTATGATTTATAGATGAAGCTCCAGTAAAGGCAGATGTGCTTCACCTGGATTAAAATGCAACTTCCTGTGTTTGCTTCTCCTTGCATTTCACAAACATGTTGAACTCTTGTCATTAAATATTTGGATTGAAGTGTTATCAAAATAAGCAACTTGTTGAAACAAGTATCAGCAATAAACAAACAAATATTTTTCAGTTAGAAAGAAATAAAGGCTTTAATAAGTATTTTTATCTTATTCTTAAATGAATAAAATAAAATTTTAAATTAAACCTTGGGCTAATCCTGAGAAGTCCATGCAGCATAAGTTTAGACCTAAGGAAATAATTTCTTTATCATTGAAAGTGTCATTTATCTTCCTATGTGGTTTACAAGCTTTTAATCCAGCTTTCATAAGGCTTCGTTTTACAGTGTTGGTGCTGACTGGCATAGCATGATCTTCCCACACCCATTTTAATAGTGTGGAAGATAATATGCAATTTTTAGATGCATTCTTAAACAATCTCGGGACTTTTTTTTTTTTTTTTAACTGGGCAATTTATCATGACATTCTTAGCTTTGTAGCAATAACTTCTTGTTTCAGATCAGTATTTTTCTGTAATATATTCATTTAATTTATCATTAAAATCTTTCTATTTATCTGATTGAAATGCTAAATAAATTTAGTAAAATAAAAATAATAATAATAAAAAAAAAGTCTGAAAGCTTTCACATTTTATATTGCATGAATGATGAAATTATTAATTGTTTCATTTACACAAACATACAGATATTGAGATCATTTGGGCTAAAAATACTTAAAAACAGTATATCTTTCCAATTTCTGAAAGACAGTCTCACACACTGAAGATAAAAATGTTTTATTCCATACAATGTTGCCACTGCTCGCTTTGAAATCACTGAGTTTTTTAACCAAAAATTGGTTAATATTTTACAGAATATGAACTAGGTAATAAAACAAATTCAAAATTCAAAATTAGGGCTTCCATGTGCAAATATTCAGGTGGAGGACTATGTTATTCAAAATATATCTCCAAGTTCCGATATTTTTGTACAGTGCGAGAAACATACATATATTCATGCAGTTTCTTTAAATGTAATATTGGGCAATAACATTTTGTTTCAGCAATTTGAAAAGTGAGTCAACTCTCTCAGTAATTCGAGGCAAAGTGCCATTTCGAGACTAATAGTCCATTTGGGCTGTAATGCCGCTTTGGGCTAATAATGCAGAAACAAATAATCTTAAGATAAAACAAATATACAGACGAAACTTGATGATGAGCTAAATTATTTAAAAGTAATAGCTATTGACAGGGGCTTTTCACCCAACATTATTAATCAAGCAGTTAAAAAATTCTCATCTCGACACACTGAAAGGCACACTCTTGTTTTAGGAGATTATAAAAATTATGTTGTCATTCCTTCTTTCCATCAGTTAGCTATAAAGTTGCACGCATTTTGCAGAAATTTAACTTTTGGGTCGTTTAAGCTGCGTTCAGACGACGGTATAAAGGGCATAGAGGCATAGTCATAAGGGCATAAAATACGGGAGTTCCATTCACACCTGCAAGACAGGGTTCTAAGCTGTGGCCAATAAGAGAAGTTAAATTTGCACGTGTGTGGATGTGTCTACTCCTTTCGTCCACTGTTTTCCAGCTCGATTGATTTCCCGCGATCGCTCTGCTTATTCCCCTTATTTTGTGTTATGGCTTTTTCAGCTCACCACAAAATTTTACTGGTTCAACAGAATGCTCTTTTATCTGTCCTTATTATAAGCCAAGAGGATACAGAAGAAGGTAAAAAAAGAAAAAGAATGAAATGGTTTAGAGATATTTTTTTGGAAAGACCAATATTTGGTTGGCACATATTTCTGTGCAAAGCAGTATGGGATATTTCTGTATTGTACTGTAGTACTCTTTATACTATAAACATGCACATGCATATTTATATATATAAAACCTTCTTCAATTTTTTATAAGTAATTTCTCTTAGGAGAAATACAATATTCTAAATATGCCTAATTAAAAAAAATCTTGAGGATAAGTGACAGCCTGTATATAATATTTTTCCATTTTGCAGGTGTGACAGCAGTTAAGTAGAAATAGTAACAGTACTTACCATACATTAAATTTTTTTTTTTAATTTTCAATCAAAAGGAACATGTTTCTGTGCTTAGCACTCCTTATTCACTGTAACTGTCGATCACTACAGCAGTTTGGCTGCACTACCAGTATCAATTATCACTAGTACTAGTATCCCACAACTGGTCACCATGACCAGCGACCACAACTAGTACAATACTATAAAACGTTCATCCAACAATGTATTTTATGCTTAATCATTAAATACATTTTGCTGTGTTGCCAGCTGTTTGTATGCATCTATTTCTAATAATTTGCATGTATAAGCCGCACCTCTAAATTCCGTATGCTTTTTCTGAAAAAAAAGGGGGGGTAAACACTAACTTTCAGGAATTTTGTGCATAATTCTGCAAACTGGTTTGTTTATATCATATGAGTAATTCAAATTAAACTCTGCTCTGCTGTGAGATGTCATAGATGTAAGTTTCATCTACGTCTGCTGTCAGAAGTAATTACTATTAATGATTTTTCATTTGCTGACAGATTATGACAATTCTTCACTCACTGGCAGACATGCATATTAAAGCACCAAAAAAAGTTTATTTCAACATATGCTGTCATTTCTATTTATGACCAATATCTCAAAAGTAATTTCACAATGACAAATTTTAGGTACCCAAGTCTTCAAATACAACAAAATTATAAACATTCATACCTTATCCAGGAATTTCTACCAAAGAAATAGCATGAATTTAATGATCAAAATTCCATTCAAATGATAGTAATAAAGAGTGGATATAAATAACAAATGCTATTCATTAAATTATAGTCCATGTTATGAATTAATTATGTGTGCTATTCAGTTTCATTAAAAGTAAATTCCTTCCATGGAGAACATAATTAAAAAATAGAACAGAACATCAACAGGAGACAAAACTGTCTACACTGTTGACTGTTGTTTTAAGGATATTTCACTACATTTTTTCCTTCTTGGAATTCATAAGAGCATTTTCTCAAAAGATTAATTTTTTATTACTTATGCAAAACTTACACCATTGAATTGACTATTGTGACTAAGTGAAAATAATTTTTTCTCTTTTTTAAAGTAATATTTTTACTGTAAAAAAAAACCAGCAGAGTCTTGATATTGATTTGATGTTTTAGTAAAATTAATTCATGAAGTTTGTTTGGAAAGAAAATCAGCATTTGAAGCAACTAGCAATACAATATTTCCAGCTTTTTCAATAAATTTATTCTTAAATACAAAAATAATTAAACAGGAAGAAAATGATAGTAATAATTTATACAAAAATAATAAACAGAAATAAAGTAATAATAACTATTTACACAGAAAAAATAAAATTTTTGCAAACATGCATTTTTTAAAGAATTTTCATTATAAAATGAAAAATAATCCGTCATCTACAGGATCATACACAGCGTGCATGATCCTGAGCTTAACTTTTGCTTTACGAGTTTCATCCAGATTTTTCAATTTATTTTGAAAACTCATTAAAAAATGCATGTCATCATCGTAGATTTCTTGCGAGATCAACTCATTATTTCGTTCGGATACGATTACAACTCATTCGTATACGATGTGCTCCGTATTAAAAAAAATGTCGCCTTTGATGTGATAGCGAAACCATCTAAAAAGAGCCGCTTCATTCTGATTGGTCAACGCTTATCCCAAATTTGGCGTAAAGTTGAAAACTTGGAACCTCGTGCCATGAGCTTTAAACCAGATTATGTAATGTAGCACAGACTGGTTGCCTTAGCAGCGCAGCTCGGCTTTAACTACTTATGCCTTTTATGCCCCCGTCTGAACGCAACCTTATTCTCCCATCAATAAAATTCTGAGTTCCATACTCAAGGACCCCATTATGGGATATGAATTCCTGGGGTATTTATAGGATTCTTTGCTAGTGTGGCTTAATTTACATTGACTAAGCTAAGAGAACCTTAAAATTTCACGTTAAGGAACATGAGGCTCAGTTAAGGAACATGAGAAAAAAGGAAACACAGAAGTCTTCTGTTGCCCAACATTGTTGGTCCGAAAATCACACTTTCAATTTTTCTGCTGCGAAAATTATTCAAAAAACATCTTCCATTGGTGAACTGGATTTTCTAGAGGCATTTCACATTAAAAAAAAAATCTTTCTGTTCTAGTTTTACGACCCTAATTCCAATCCATCTTTGCCTTTAAAGAAATTATGTTTTAGTTCTGGTTTCATCCACAGATGGTGACAGCGGCTTATCTCCTGTCCAGGCTTTCTAATCTAATCATTATATCTTATCTCGTTCATTTGCTTTTGCAGATGAGGCTGATGGTTCGGTAAAACCATTGAAACTAGTCCTGTCAAAATTTGAAAATATAACGCTGAATTTTGTTGTTTGACTTCTAAATTAATATTTGTTCGGCATGTTATTGTATTTTAAATATACAGAACTTAACAACAATAAATTAAATTAATTTAATATAAATATAAATTTACTGTACCACTGAAAATAATGAAATATTGTTAACTGCTCAAATAAATAAAACCTTTGAGAAGTAAAAAATGTCATTTGAATGTTATTGTATCTTAAATATACAGAACTTAACAACAATAAATTAAAATTAATTTAATATAAATATTAAATTTACTGTACCACTGAAATAATGAAATATTGTTAACTGTTCAAATAAATAAAACCTTTGAGAAGTAAAAAATGTCATTGAATTTTTTTAAAGCAAGTGATTAAACAAAATTTTTGTCATATCTGTTTGTTAAATGAGGTGTAACAAATCCAATTCATTTAAAGCATTTTTTACTGAAACAAAATGCAGATGAGAAAATTCTGATAAATTATATACACTGAGGAAAAAATAAATTCATTTTGCAAAAGACTGTATATTTACACCATATCCTTAAAAGTCCTTGTATGACCTTTATTTGTGCAGTTCTTGATTACAGACATTATGTTTTCAGTTACAGAAATGTTTTAAATGATGTAAATATTCATTTAAGTTCTTTAAATATTTTTCAAGTCTATGCTGTTTTATTTTTTAATATTCATGAAAAGTAAGAGATAAAATGCTTGATTCCTGCATGATAAAAATTGACTGAGGTATATAATTTTTGCCTTCTTTTTTCATTTTTATTAGGAGTCAATTAAAAAAATTAGAATAATTAAAAGTTGATTTCTTTCCCTTTAATTTCCTTTAAAGATACTCTTTTGTGGTTTACAAGTATGTAAGCTTCTTTTAATTTATGAAGTTTGCAACTCAAGCAGCTGACAGTTACTGTCATTTTGTTGTTCATGTAAATAAAAGAAATTCTATCAAGCATGTTTAGGTGCTAAGACATATTTTGATCTTCTCCTGTTATCCACGCATCCCTCCTGCAAAGCCATATTACCTAATTTGTCACCAACTTAGCACTGAAAAACAGTAGTCATTTAAAAAAAAAAAAAAAGGCAGCTTACTAAAAATGCTATGTAACATTATCTTGCTAAGGATTTAAATTGTCATGATAAATCACTCATCATATTTTCCTACCTTATTGTCAGTTGATCTTTTTCCTTTTTCAAAAGCTTAAGATTGGCATGAAAAGACAGAGATTTGAAAATGTCTCAGATATTAAAGTGTGTATATGATGAAGGGTTAATTCCAGTGCCTATAAATAATGTTTTGATGACATGAAGAAACATTGGAAAAAATATATACACTTCTTTAGCAATTATTCTGAAGAAGATAAATTTATTTGAAGGTTTGTGATCTTTTTCTGATTTATGAGAAATAATAATTTTATGGGTGCACTTTGTACAGTTTCATAAGATTCTGGTTTGCCTACTTTTGGTGACATAGCACTTTGCTCTGTGATTCTTGTAAAGTAAATGTTAGGCAGGTAATGTGATAGTATCCATATTTTCTTTCACTTTATGCATTACATTCTCCTTTGTATGTATAAATTTCAGAAATAAAGACATTTGAAGTCATTCTGTGTTGTTAAATATCAGGAATAAAACGTGTTTAGCACATAACTACTGCTAATTTTCTGAAACAGTTTAAAGTGTTAAAATTTCAGTTTTGTGTATTTATTTATCTCATTTAAGTTTTATTTTGAGAATGATAAATTTTTAGTCACCATGGCATATTCCTCCTTACTAAGTATTACATTTACTGTACTAAGTATATTAAAGATCATAGTTAAGTTTTTACTATGTAATTCATTGTTGTTTAATGTTTCTAATCACTTTTGTTTCCAGGTACCTGCTCCTGAGATTACTATAGTAAATGCTGTTATGAAGATGCTAAAGAATGATTGGGTAATGTTTCTTAATTTTAAACGTATTAATACAACTGAACAAAAGTTTTAAATAAAAAAAGGAATTACTGCTATGGAGATTATTAATTCTTTTTATCTATTTATGAATGCAAGTTGGTGCTAAATTGCAAAGTAAAAAATATTTATTTCTTCCTTTTATGTTTTACCTTTCATTTATACAGTTAATGTTACTATAACGACTTTTCCATTACAATTACCAGTACAAAAATATCCTGCTGATGAGAAAATACATTGAAGTATCACTGAATTGGGAATAGACAATGTGCAAATTGTGTAGCCCTGTGCTGCATATATGCTCACATGTTGGCACTGTGGTTACTGCATATATATATAGCTAGTATTATGGTTGTTGTTAATCAGTCATTTTAATTGCCAGTATGAGTAAAATTTCTGATTTAGATGCCTTCGACTGCAAGTAGGTGCTCAATGCATGGACCATTCGGTTTCCAAAATCATCAGAGGTCTCAGTAGTATACCAAGGTTGACAATTTTCAAGGTCAGTAGTACACCAAGATTGCACAAATGGTGGGAAAAAACTAGTGATTGGGCAAACTGCAAAGGATAACTAGCCTTGAATGAGTGAGACAGCTCAGGTGTATTGTATGTAGCCAGTGAAGCCAAGCATTAGCTCAAATAATCATCCAGCTGAATCAGGGCCCCAGTTATACAATCAGTAGATGGACCGTGCAACACTCACTTCACCATATAAGCTTTGGGAGCCATAGACTCACGATAGTACCATTGCTGAATGCACATCTTGCCTGGGCAAGAGAACACAGAGAATGGATTCGAGATTTGCCATCTAGTAACTTTTGACTTAAATCCTATTGAGCACCTTTAGTATCTTTTAAAGAAAGATAGCACATCACACAACACAAGTGACCTTTCCAAAATTATGGACAGCCCTAGCCAATGCTTGTGAAGCCATTCCTGTGGAACATTTCTGCAAACTTGTTGAATCTATGCCTCGTCATTTGACAGTCGTTATCAAGGCCAGAGGGGACCCAACTCATTATTGACTTACTATCCCTAATTCAGTGGTACTTCAGTATATTACTAATTTTCTGAAGCAACCACTCATTATTACATTCTTTTTCAATAGGACATAAGGGGTTCATTTTTCGAATGAACATCAACCTTTAAAAATATGCAAATCTATTACTATCTGTATCTTCAGATAAAATTAACAGTAACATTAAGAAATTTTTTTTTTTTAAATCACACTGTGTTGCTGGGTTTTTGAGCAAATTGATATTCATACTGCTAGCACTGATGCATTTAGCCTTTTTTGTTATCTTATTGAGCTTTTTATGATCTTAGTTAATGTGTGAGGATAATTAGCATTTAAGAATGTATTTTCTTAAAATAATTATGACTTTGTTTCTGTATAAACATTAAATGTTTGAAAATGAAAGTTCATGTTATCCTCATAAATGTTGAGACACCATTAAGAAGTAACTGCTCTATAATTTTTTTGAGAAATTTTTTATAATCTCACTTTTTTTTTAAAAGAATCTTTGAACAAAATCTATTTTTTCGTCTTCGGTATAAGAAATGATGAAGTTACATACAAAACTACTTTAATATTGGAATTTTAAAATAGATAGTGAATAAAGATATTTGCAAAATTAATCATTTTGGAAAATTACTTGAATAATTCTTAGTGCTCCTAGCAAGCAATTCATTTTTTGCCTGAGATCACCATCAGGCTACCGTATCGGTAAGGTTTTCATTTAAATTCTTGTTGAACTGTACAACAAGAAAGACAGTTCTCTTGTTGCAAACAACAAATTAAGATGGTATTATTAGAGATTTTCTATCAAGATGGGTCTCTCCTCATTTATTGTCTAATGAAATGCATCAGGATAAGTAATGCTTGCGTGAAAATTCTGAATAACTAAGCTTTGGAAGAAGGAAAAAATAACCTGTTAAAATTATTTCTTCAAAATTAAAATGAAATTTTTTATCTTTTTATGTTTTAATTGATTTAATTATCTGCATAAAAACATTAAAAACTAATTATGAAATTAGTGGTGCTAATGCAGGTGATGTAGCTGGTATGTTTTACTGTAATGATAACTGTGTTTAGCATTACTGCTATAAGCCATAATCATCTTTACATGAATTTAATTAAAAATGCATTCTTTGTGTTATTCTTTCTAAAGACTAATGCTGCTGTCATAACAAGTGTTGATGTTATACCATTTAATCGTAATTCAACTATGCAAGATCCTTATACACCAAGAGCACTGCTTGGGAAAGAGGTAATTATAAATTTTCTTAAGTGTAACTAGTCCATATGTAAGAAAATTATTACATAGTGCAAAAAAATTAATAACCTTTTTCATAAAAAACATTTTTTAAACTGTATTTATATTTATTTATTCCACCTAAAGACAGCATTTGCGGTGGTTAATATTTGCTGGATGAAAGTCATGATTCTCAACTAAAAGTCCGTCTCAGTTTTTTTAAGATAGAAGGCCTTTTTCTGAAAATATGAAGATCAAATTAGATAATTCAAATAAAAATAATTTCCTTAGGGTTGTGAACGCCTTAGGTTCATTTCTGGTCGGGTGAAGAATCTCTCTTTTATTGATTCTTCAGCCATCCAGAAATAGAGCATTCACTTTAAAATCATTTAGAGATATAAACACATTGTGTTTAAATGAAATATAATTTATTTTAAAATCACTTGTTTTCTAAAAATTACTCTCATGACTGAAGACCAATGGCAAATTAAAGAGTGAGCAGTGAAATTGAAGAAGAATATTGTTACGAAATGTACAGGCATGCGGTGAGATGGCTTCCCCGCAAAGCAGTTTTAAGGTTGCCATAAAATAGCAAGGAAAGTCAGGGTTGCCACATTTGGCGACAAAATTGGCGATATACCATGGACAGTTGGAGAACCTTCTGGAACAAATTCTTACCGGTTTAGCCCAGAATTTTCTCGAACACAAGCCGAAAGCTATATAAACCCTGCTGGTCCGCAGTCAGTTAGAGTGTGCCTCGTCTAGAGAGCTGATAGTCATTGAGCGTCTCAAAGTGTAGCGCTGAGTTGGTTGTCAAGTGCATCGAAGAGTCTCTTAGTGTATCGCGGTTAGTGCATTGTCGACAGAGTGTGTTAAGCTCGGGAAACAACTGAACCGAAGAGTTGGGAGCTGTGCTCTGTGTGTCGTCGAGTGCATTGCGAGTTGTAGCGTGGAGAGTCTCGAGAGTATGCGGAGGTCTAAGAATGACCGAGCTGTACTCTAGTGCTTTGTCGTGATGTTGTTTCCACCGTGATAGCCTGATAACGTTCAAATGTGAAACGTGTTTTGGAGCTGTCCTGACAATACTGGCAAATAAAGTGTGTTTCGATATTTCATTAATTGCTGTCATCGTTATTCACTCCAAATCCACACGAACCCCATAAGAAATGGTGTCAGAGGAAAAAATGTAACAATATAATGGGCAATTAGGACATAGGCTGAATGGAGTGTCAGAGGTTCAAAAAACTAATTAAAAATTTTCATGATGTATTGTTAAACACTGGTCATCAAAATTAAAGGATAATGACAAAACAAAACATAACTAATATTTAAAAATTATTAATAGAAATTTGTACAAAAGCATTAGTTAACATAAATTACAAAGTTTGCAGTTGATTTATTCACAAAATATTGAAATTGAAACTCAATTTATAGAAACTGGAAAATGACGGAAAAATTAAGTTAACTCTTATGGAAAATTTTTTTCTTGAATACGGTGTATGGCCACCTCATACAGATATGCATCATCTTGATTTCTTAGACTTTACCAAAGTGTTGATCAAGTGTAGTCATGTGGAATTAAACTCCACTGTTCTAAAAGTACACTTTTCAGTTCCTGGAGGGTCCAGGGAGGTATTTGTTACCCTAAGGCAGGGGTTCTTAACCTTATTCCCCATCTGGGCACATCTGACAAACAGGAAATGCTGGCGGGCGCAGTAAAAAAAAAAAGTATAATGATTCTTAATATTTCTTTATTTTACTGAAATCATAAGCATCATTAACAATACCCTACGTTAAAAAAGTAACAAGAAATTCAAAATAGCTTCGCAAGGCATCCCCCTGCATGCTCAATTGGGCTCAAGTTCGGTGAGTAAGGTGGCCAGTTCATTCGAGTGATATTTTCTGTTTGCAGGTCTGTTCTGTGTGCTCAATGAGACCTAGCATTGACATCCATTATCAAAAACTCTGGACCAACAGCAATCCTAAACTGTCTTAGTTAGGGTTGCAATACCTTGTCTACATATCTTCCAGTGGTTACATAACCTCCATGAAAGATATACAGCCATTTGTTATGATTCCTTTCCAAGTGTGATATTTGGGGAAAAACTAGTGATCAGGCAAACTGCCAGGGAAGTGGGATATTTCATAGATAAGGAGAGACGATTTGCTCGTTCCTTCCTCTCTCCAGATCAAAACACGTTTAGAATCACTGTTTTCAGACTATACCTGGACTTGTCAGTAAATAGTACTTGGGTCAAGTTGTCTTGACTCTTTTGAGCATGACAGTGGTACCAGTTTAAATGAGCCTCTCTGGAAACTAGAGTGGGACCGAAACCATTGGCCTTTCTCACATACAGTCCAGCCTTGTTAAGCCTTTGTGCAGCAGCAGAATAGCTAATTCAAGTTCCTGTGGCAGCCTGAAGATCTAAAATCAAATCTCTTATAGTTACTTCACAGTTTCTTTGACCAATGACAGAAAACGGTCTTCTGATGCAGTTGTTGCTCTTGTTGCCCTTGACGAAGCTGTCTATCAACTGATCCAGTGCTTCTCTTGATATGACACTTTGAAGGATATTCAAATAATATAATAGGATATTCAATTTGAAGGATATTCAATAAATAAGACCACCATTTTTGTTTTACCTCTCTCGATTCCCTTTGTCACTTAAAAGTTCAAGTTTAAGTGATGCCTTTAAGCCATAACTACTGAATACTGATCACTCTCAGAAACTGCATTCATTTTAAATGATACTACAGCCCAGAATTCCAACGTGCATCCATTCCGCACCACATTGTCAATCACCGAATTTCCATATTTCCAATGCTAATATATGTGGGGTAGTGCAATTTTGTGTTCAGTTGTACTTAATTAATATAAATAATTATAACATTGGGCATTGGTTGCAACATTAACTTAGTGAGCATATTTTTTCTCATTATCCATTAAATTTGATGACTAGTATAATAAAGGAGGCTAACGATGTCTCTTGCCAAAAGTGCAAAGTATCTTTTTCGAGCATTTGTAATGACTTTTATCACAATCATGTATTTTAATGCTATTCATTATGAAATATTAGCTTTGAAACATTAGTTTGAAGACAGGGTTTCGTATTACATTGAAAACCAGCTAACATCATAAATCCTTTTAGTAAACTTCTCTTATGCTGTTAGAAAATTCTGAAGAATTTTACCTGCTCTTGAGTTGAAAAGAACATTTGATAAATAAGCCTATGCATTATCTGCTGTACTGTATTTTTCTATTTTTATTGTATGTGCAGTTGACCAACCTTTCATATAGTGTTTACTTTGAAACCAATAGATGTACTGTTTGAAGTTTGTTTCAAAGTCAAGATTATAATAATTAGTTTGAATGTAGGTGGCAACATTTTTTTTTAATGCCGTGGGTCTTTACAATGGACCATTCTTTTTAAGTACAATTTGGTGACCCCCCCTTTTTTTTGTTTTGTTTTGTTTTGTTTGTTTGTTTGTTATCCTGGATATACACATTATCCATAAAAGTCCTTAGCTGGTCTTTATTTTTACCATCATTAGTCATAAACATACATTTCCAATTATAAAAATGTTTTAAATGCTGCAAAGAGTCATGTTTTGGCATTTGTTAAAGAAATAAGTTTTGTGGTATTTACAAAATATTAACTTTTACATGTTTCATTAGTCCTTATATTTAGAAAAATTCTGTACTCGTAATAAAATATAAAACACAAGGAGTTTGACTTTTATATGGCAAAATTGATTGATATTTAAAATAAAAATTAGGAATTGTATTCAGAACCCATGTACAACTGAAAATCGATATGTTTGCATTTGTATGTAACATAAAAATAAAATATCATTTAGAAAAAGATTTCTGATGTTAATAGACTATGTGATGAGCTTTTTTAAAGGATTCGAAAATAACTATGGATTTAATATGAAAAAACACTTTAATTGCAGATATTTCCAAAAAATTTAGAAGCAGTTATTCGTACAGAAACGATGGAACTTATTTTCAAAAACATAAACTTAAAACAGAGTTGAGTTGTAGCTGGTCTTACTCAACTTCCCACCTTGCAATTTGTAGGATACCTATAAATTGCAACAAAAGTTATAAATCAAATCTATTTGGGAATTTTAACACATCGGCCAGCTCTATTAACAAAATCTTGGACTTTGGGTGAGGAATCATCATCTTCGGTGGAATCGGAATCATTAGCTGCAGGGCGTAGAGGCACTTTCCTCCCTTCGAGCATCTTGGGCAATGAATGGTAACTTTTCCAAACTGTTGATTTCTAACGGATAATGTCTTTGGAATGGTCTCAACTTCTCTTCATCAGCTGTTCTCACTCTGGCAACTCTTGAGTGCCCATCTGCTCCAGAAAAGACTTCAATGACGATTCCTAAAGGCCAGTTGATACGCTTGCCATCAGTTTCTAAAAGAATGACCTCTCCAACTCTTTAAAGATTCTTCCCGACTCTTAACTTTATGAATCAGCATTGCTAAATACTCATTCTGAAATTTCATTCTTAAATCCTGCCTTAATTTTTGCACAAAACACAATCTTATATTTAGGCTTTTACTGTCAGATTTCGTCTAAATCAGTTGTTTCACTGCTAGGAATACTTTGTAAGAAGCAAGCGGGAGTTAATGGTTTCAGACCTTCAGAATTGTCTTCAATATATGTAAGTGGCATAGTGTTTTATTGTAGCTTCGCAGTCACATAGAATAGGTTTCCAACTCTTCATAGTCAAGACTTTTCCTATGCCCAAAATTCTTCTTAGCGTATCATAAGAATTACGTTACCATGCGCTTTATCCTCCCCACCAGGCAGTTAAATTTTGGGTTAAACTTCCTTTTTTTCCTTGATAGTAGAAAAAATGATCTTCTCCCAATCTAAATTTCTTAGAGCATTGCTTTGAACCAATGAAGTTTGTACCGTTGTCAGTGTAGATTATATTTACTCTACCTTTCGAGCAAAGAATCTTCTTAAAGCCATAATAAAAACTTCTGTAGACAG